GGCCCACTGCTGGCAGATGTCCGCCAGCTGCAGGCTTGATAGGGGGACCTCCGAGTGCAGCAGCGTGTCCAGGTCCGTGTCGAAGCGCTCCATCACGATGGCCGGCGGCTGCTCGCTGTACCCGAAGAGCCGGACGATGTGGCCGTGCTCGCGCAGCAGCCACATCAGCGCCACCTCATTTTGGAACATGGCGTGGTGCACCGGGGCCATGGCCTCGGGCCGCATCTTCTTGACGGCCACCACGTCCGGGCAGCCCAGCCGCGCGGCGATGCCAGCTCCGATCGCCTGCGCCGCATACACCGACGCCTGGGTCCCGGCGCCCAGCTGCTCATCCAGCGGCCGGAAGTCCGTGTCCACGCCCACCAGGATGGCCCCGGGCAGGGCCAGCTCCACGATGGTGTTCAGCATGGTGGCGTCCTCGGCGTCCGCCGGGTCCTTGCCGGTGGCAGCCATGCCGGCGTGCCGGCGCACGAGGAAGAGCACGAGCAGAAGCAGCAGGATCAGCAAAAACAGCAGGCCCAGCGACAGGCCCACCGCCAGGCCAACATGCGAAGAGCGTGACCCGGGCACCCGGCTGCAGTCCTCGGCCCCGGGCCCGGTGCAGGCGCGGCACTTCACATGGCACGGAGCACACACCGGCGAGAGGGGCCCCTCCTGGCCGAAGGTGCCGGGCGGGCAGGCCGCCACGCAGGCCGACCCGTCCACCAGGAACAGGCCCCCGGCACACCCATCACAGGACCCCATGACGGGGCAGGCGAGCGAGCCATCCGCCTCGAGGGTGCAGCCGGCCTGGCCCTCGCCGGCGGTGCACTGCTCGCAGCCGGCCGGGCACCGCAGGCAGGCCGCATCCACGGGCGCCGAGCCGGCCGGGCAGGAGCCGGCGCATGTGCCGGCACTGGTGCGGACCAGCCCCGCCGGGCAGCTGGTGCAGGAGTCCGCCTGGCCGAAGCAGGTCCGGCAGCCGGGCTCGCACCAGGCACACCGGTCCGCACCCTGGGGATGGTACTGGCCCGGGGGGCAGGCCCCGTGGCAGGCACCATCCGAGAGGACCCACCCGGCGGCACAGGCAGTGCACTCGGCCGAGCAGGGCGCCTGGCCGGGCCGGCACTCGGCGCAGCCCTCCGGGCAGGGGACGCATGTGCCGGATGGGGCACATGCCAGCCAGCCGGCCGGGCAGCCCGTGTCACACGCCCCGGCCGGGGTCAGGAGGGCGCCCGCCGGGCAGGAGGCACATGTGTCCGGGGCGCGGCACGTCCGGCACGAGGGGGCACACGGCCGGCACACATTGCCCTGGGGGAAGTAGCCCTCCGGGCAGGAGGACAGGCAGTGGCCCTCGAGGAGGAGCCGGTCCCCGGGGCAGGAGACGCACTCGCTGCCGTCGGGCCCGGAGCAGGCAGCACACGAGACGCTGCAGGGGAGGCATGCTGGCCCGGCCTGGTAGGTGCCGGCCGGGCAGGCGCCAAGGCAAGCACCGTCGAGGTGCAGCGGGGCGGCCGGGCCGCAGGTGAGGCAGTGCTCCGGCTCCGGCCCGTAGCACGTGGCGCAGGACCCGTGGCAGGCGGTGCACAGCCCGCCCAGGGCCACCGACGAGCCGGGGCACCCGGTCACGCAGCTCGGCACGTCCAGCAGCCACCCGCGCTCGCACAGGGCGCAGGTGGCCGCGCTCGCCGGGCAGCTGGCGCAGTGCGCCTCGCAGGGGGCGCACCCGGCGCCCGAGGCGTGGTACCCCACCGGGCAGGCCGGCACGCAGCGCATGGGCGACGCCCCGGCCGGCAGGGCCAGCAAGTCGGGTGCGCAGTCCGGCAGGCACTCGGTGCTCCGGGTCCCGGCGCACCGGTCGCAGGATGCGTGGCAGGGCAGGCACCGGCCGGCCAGGGCCACATGCCTGGCGGCGCAGGCCTGCACACAGTCGTCGCCCTGCAGGACACCGGTGGCGCAGCGCCAGCAGTCCTTGTCCGAAGGGCCGTTGCACGTGGCGCAGGCCGCGTCGCAGGGCAGGCACTCGGCCCCCGCGCGGTACTGGCCCTCCGGGCAGCCGGACACGCAGGTGCCGACACCGGGGGTTACTTCGACAAGCTCCAGCCCGGTGGCACAGTCCGTGCACTGGTTGGCCATGCCACCGGCGCAGGCGGCGCAGCTCACGTCGCACGGCTGGCACGACTCGCCGTTGCTGAATGACCCGGCCGGGCAGGCGGCCACACACCGGCCGGCCGGGTCCAGAAGCAGCCCCCCATGGCAGGACAGACAATGTGCCGCGGTGCAGGCGACACACCCCTCGGGGCATGGGACACAGGGGGCCCCGGCGCCGGGCCCCGGGGGCGAGGCGGCCCACCGGTGGCCCTCGGCGCACACCTGGCAGCTGGTGCCGCTGTGGGCGCAGAGCTGGCACGAGGCGGCGCACGTCGCGCACCTGCCCGAGCCGATGTACTCCCCGGGCGGGCAGGCGCTCGCACACAGCGAGGGGGTGGCAGGGTCAGCCTCAAGGAAGACCAGCCCGCCGAGGCATGCGGTGCAGGCCATGTCCGTGCTGCAGGCCGCGCACGACCCGTGACACGGGTGACACCGCTTATCGCCGCCGAGGAAGTGCCGGCCGGCGCAGGCCGCGCACTCGGTGGCCGAAAGGCACTCGGTGCAGGCCGCCGGGCAGGCCCTGCACACCCGGGCCACACGGTCCTCCCAGTGGCCGGCCGGGCACGAGTCAACACAACGGCCCCCGAGGGCAAGCCGGCCGGCGGGACAGGCCAGGCAGGTCGCCGGGTCCCCGGGGACCGAGCATGTGGCGCAGGTCTCATGGCAGGGGAAGCATTGGCCCGGCTCCACGCCGCCCAGGGCCCGGGCGCCGCCGGGCCGACAGTCAACGCATTCGTAGGTGCCCTGCCCGTCGGGCAGGCAGGTCTGGCAGGTGGCGTGGCAGCGGCACTGGCCATCGGCGGCGGGGTGCGTGCCGACCGGGCAGGCCGCCAGGCAGGCGTCCGGGGCGGCGGGCAGCCAAAACCGACAGGCCAGACACCCGGCCACGCCGGGCCCATTGCAAAGGAGACACCCACTGTCGCATGGCAGGCAGTCAAAGCCGTAGGTGTCGCCGGTGGGGCAGGCGGCCAGGAGGCTCAGCGACACCGGGCCCGAGCCCGGGGCCACGGCCAGCAGGGTGGCCGCAACCCCAGGCAGCCAGTCCTTCGACGGGGCCACCCGGCCGATGGGGGCCCCCCACATGGGCGAGCCGGCCAGCGGCCCCAGCGGCTCCGGCACGGGGACAAACCGCGCGGGAAGCAATGTACACGCGGCCGGGCCGGCGTCGCACCGGAGGAGGGCCACGCCGAAGAAGTCCCGCGTCAGCAGCATCAAGGCACTGGGATGGGCATCGTGCGAGGCCCCCAGGGAGATGGCCTCGAACCGGGCATCCGGCGAGTGGGGCAGCCCCGGGCTCAGCGCGCCGGGAAGAGACCCCAGGACCTGCCTGGCCGAGGGCAGGCCGATGGACCGCCCGGCTGGCAGCATGTCCCCCGGCACGCGGAAAGCCTCCCACAGGGATCCGTCCAGCCGCGTGAGGACCAGCTCCGGGGACAGGGCCCCGCCCTGGCGGGGAAGGAGCACCGGCGTGAAGGGGCCGTCCTTCGGCAGGTCCGGCAGCAGAAGCCCCCGGAGGGCGTCCCAGCGCGAGTCGTCCACCGGCAGGGCCGCCGGCCCGGCCGTGGCCCCGACACCGGCCCGGGCCAGGAGCAGCCACTCATGCCGAAGGCCCAGCGGGTAGGCCCGACCGGCGGGGGCGCCCGGCACCGAGAGCATGTGCTCGGCCTGGTAGCGCGTGGTGGTGATGCTGGTGGTGATGTGGTCCGCCAGGACCACCAGCACCTCGGAGCTGGCCAGCCGGACGGCCACATGCCGCTGGTCCAGGGGCCGGACTTCGAGGCAGTCGCCGCCGCCGGGGAGGGACATCGGGGCCACCGGGTCGCTGACCGTGCAGGCGGCGTCCCCGGCGCTGCCGGGGGTCCAGCAGGACAGCCAGGCGGCCGATGTCCCCCCATTCCGGCCGCACATGATGAGTGCCACCTTCAGCTGGCCATTCGTCAGAAAGGGCCCGAGCTCCACGAAGGAGGACACGCCGGCCACCCCGGGCATGGGGAAGATCGACATCGGGGCCGGGGCCGGCTTGGCTGCCAGGCCGACATCGCCGAGTGGCATGACGCGCGATGGCTGGCCCTCGACAAACATGAGGACCCTGTCGCGCGGGGCCCCTGGCAGAGGGAGGACCGGGCGCCCGGTCGACGCCGCCGGGCTGAGACACGTCAGGCCGAAGGCCGTGACCACCGAGCTGGGGTCCAGCCCGGGGAGGGGCTCCGGCTGGGGGACGGTCAAAATGGCATCGAGGGCCGGCGTGCCGGTGGGCTGACAGGCGCCCGCGTACTCGGCGAAGCCCGGCGAGCAGGATGGCACGCAGGCGACGCTGCCGCTCGCGCCGGTGGCCTGCGGCAAGAAGCCCGGCGAGCAGACAAGGCAATGCAGCTCGCTGCATGTTCGACAGTTTGGCTGAGGGCAGGGCTGGCATGAGTGCGACGGATGGGAGAAGGGCGGTTCGCCTGGGCGAGGGGCGCCGGGTCAGTGTGCGGAGGGGAGAGGGGGAGGAGGGGGGGGGGAGAGAGAGGGGAAAACAGAAGCCAAGAGAAGAGGAGAACAAAGACAAAGGAAGAGCAGAAGCCAGGAGAAGAGGAGAACAAAGGCAAAGGAAGAGCAGAAGCCAGGAGGAGAACAAAGACAAAGGAAGAGCAGAAGCCAGGAGAAAAGGAGAAGGCCGACCGGTGTGGCCGGGCACGCACCGGCCGAGCGCTGCAGGTAGTGGCCCTCGGCACAGCCGGCGCACAATTGGTCCACCGCGACAAGGGGCGACTCGGCGCGCCCCGGGGCACAGGCCCACCCCAGCGTCGAGCCGGTCGACACCGCGGGCCCGTCGCACACGATGCTCGGGTCACTTCCACAGCCGAAGTCCGCCGACTCGAAGAGGGCAACCATGCCCCCGAGCAGCACCCACCGGGAGGCCGGGTGGACGCCCAGCCGAAGTCGAGCCAAGTGCGTGGTACCTGGCCGGGCAATGTCGGGGAGGATGACCCGCTGCCAGCTGGAAACGCTCGACCGGACATCCAATCGCCAAAGGTCAACCCACCCGAGCGTCTCGTCGGCGTAGTACAAGAAAGGCAACGGCTCGGCCATCGACACGGCCGGGGGGTTGAGGAAACGCCCGCCGGGACCGATGCCAGGCGGCAGGAGTGCCAGGTAGAATTCCGGGCTTGCCGTTGCACCTGCATGGCAGGGAAGCAGCCGGATCTCGCCGCTGGCCGACATGAGGAGCACATCCGCGGCGTCCGGACAATCGCCCTCCGACGAGAAGACCCGCGTGGCAAGCAGGTGCGTCGGCGCCCAGGCGAGCGGGGTGTGGGAAATGCTGGCCATGCCATCCTGGGGGATGCGCACGGCGAGAAGCTCCCCCCCGGATGCCACGTAGAAGACCCGCTGCGGCCCGGCGGCCGTGAGGACCGGCCTCTCGAGCTCGGCCACCCCCGGCATGTCGGTTTTCACCAAGGCCCCGGCAGAGAGTGTGCCCACGAACAGCGCATACCTCTCGACCATCGGGCTGGGAACGATCCCCAGCAGGTCGGCCTTGTTGCTGCTGCTGCTTGGGGCCGATGCCGCCAGGAGGAAAATGTTCGACTGGGGAAAGGCCACGTGAAAGGGCTCGATAAAGAACGCGACCCAGGCGTGGGTGAACTCCAGCAGGACCGGCATGGTCGATCCGGCGGGGGGCGGCAGAAACATCCTCGCCGCCAGGCCCAGGTCGTCGGGCCGCGGGGACACCAACCGGTAGGCCATCTTCCGACCGAGGAAGGGGCCCCAGCGAACTTCCGGCAGTATGGCCAGCCCATCGGCCTGGTGGTAGCCTTGGACATCGCGCGCGGGGGCCTCGATGTTGACGGTGGTATCCCGCCCGGGCAGGGTGACCAAAGTCATTTGGCCATCGACATTCATCACCGGCCGGGGCGCGGCATGGAGAAAAAGGCTTGGACCGGTGGCCAGCACCGCCGGCACCAGCAGCCAGGTCGCCCCCCAGACCACGGCGAGCAAGGCCAAGCGCAGCGCATGCCTCGACCAGCGTCCCGGCTGCCGGGGGGGAGCCA